TGAGGTCAGTGTTAGGGCTTACGTTTACTGACTTTAAGACTTAGCTTCACCCACATGCCGTCCCCATCTTTGGGGGATGGACAATCAGCAGGAAGGTATAAAACCTACAGTATCTTCATAGTTTTGCTTCTCTATAACTGTGTTATCCAAGGGGTGGAATGCATATCTCTGATGGTACTAGATCTCGATCAGGAAGGGAAATGCAGGGCTCAGGATTTCTATGCCAAGCTAGCTCATAGGAGAACATACTAGCTCTAGTGTCAGTAAGTGATAGATACCACAGAGAACATAGTAAGATGGCTTGGGTGGGTTGTATACATTGCACTGGACATACACACAGGGTACACCAGAATATTAACTTTTCTATATGTCAGAACAATATTTCATGGTAGTACCCCAAAATGACAGTCCATGTTCTAGTGTGATAATGTGAAATGCGTCAAAACATACTGGCACTGAAAAAATGTTGTACTATAATGTATGGCCCCTGCCAACTAAAAAAAGTGGCAACAAGAACCAAACGATGTGTGCAGGACCCCCACATTACTCAGTGATTACATACAGTCATACCAAGGAGATAACATTTCACATTAAGATCTTACCCTCTGGATCGCCAAATGTTACACATAACTAATAGGTAACAGTAGAAGAATAGTGTACTCCTTATCAGTTTTGGGTGGACTTGGACACCGTGGGGTTGAATCCCTGAAGGGGTAGAAAATGTGCCAATTATTTGTGAAAGGAAAAAAAAAATTTCTTGCACTTAACTGGATGATTAAATACTAAGTTTGCTCTTAATGCCATGCTTTACATCACACCCATATTCAGGGTGTAACATGTAACATGGTCACATCCCCAAACTGTATGGGTTAAATGCTTGTTTGGCTAGGGGGGAGAAGAATAAATACAAATCCTTATCTTATTCTATGCTCTGATGATGTGAAGCTGCTTTGGGAAAACCTTCTGGAGCAAGTAGTAAGGTAAGTATTTCTACGTATTCCTTTCCCCCTAGTCAGATGGACATTTAACCCTTGCAATGCAGGGCTGGGGTGGGGGCAGGGGTGGGGGGCAATCCAAAAGAGAATTTAACAGCAGTCAGCAGTGGGGCTCTACAAACATTTCACACTCCTTTAGTAAATCAACCCCATTTATCTCTTATAATAAAAGGTTTCCTGCAATGGACCCAATTTAGAAGATATGGCTATTCATCCTTTGACAGGACATTTTATTAGATTATTTGAAGAATAATCACATACATACTCAGATAACCATTGTAAAACCTGGAATCTCAGTGATACAACTGGACATTTCATTGTTAATAAACAGATCAGTCTTCTTCTGCCCAAAGATGGTGGGCCAGGGATGCGGATGATAGATTGATATTTTTCCACCAAAACTGATATTTGGCAATTCTCCAAATGGCTGAAAAGCAGCAAAACAAACCATAGAAATGTATCAGTATCCTTGTTTTTTTCCCTTTACCACGTTACAGATGTTACTTCCAATGCATTATTTTATAATTGGTTCTCTTATATGTAGGCATCCATTATAGGAGCATTTTGTCCCCAGAACTTCCCCTAGCAGGAGAGTTTCATTACTATAAGTTATCAAATATTTGTAATATCTATTTACATGCACACTTACTACTCAGGTGAGCAACTACACTGGCTTATTTCTGCCCCACTGAATGAGAATGGTGGGGTAATGTCTCTTTTTTCCTAATTTGACATGATTTTCTCCTGAGAACCCAAGCTGAAGTTGCTTGTACTCCACTTATACAGAGTTATAAATATGCACAACTGGGACATTATCTTTTGTTTTGTGTGGCAATTTCTAACATGTACTTACTGTGCTGTTCAGATTAGCATCAGCTCAAACTCATGCAACCCAAATAATTTCATGAAGTTAGTTTAAAACTGCAAAAGTTGACACCCCCCGACAACAGATTGGCTTTTCCCTGCTGATCGCTATTGTTGTCCAGAGGTAAGAATTAATTCTTGACTCTCCCTTATTTTACTCCTTTACTTTAGCACAGATTTTACAAAGAACATCATGACCACTCTTGGTGTTGGCAGCAATCTTCCTTCAAAATCCATCCTCGATGATTCTACCCTGTAGATACAAATAGTCTATATGAACTAAAGTCTTCAGTCTATGGGGTTGGTATTATTATGAACTAAAGTCTTCTGTCTATAGGGTTGGTATTATTATGAACTAAAGTCTTCTGCCTATGGGGGTGGTATTATTATGAACGAAAGTCTTCAGTCTATGGGGTTCTTATTATTATGAAATAAAGTTTTCAGTCTATGGGGACGGTATTATTATGAACGAAAGTCTTCTGTCTATGGGGTGTGGTAATATTATCAAATAAAGTCTTCAGTCTATGGGGATGGTATTATTATGAAATAAAGTCTCCAGTCTATGGGGATGGTATTATTATGAACGAAAGTCTTCAGTCTATGGGGTTGGTATTATTATGAACGAAAGTCTTCAGTCTATGGGGTGGTATTATTATGAACGAAAGTCTTCAGTCTATGGGGTTGGTATTATTATGAACGAAAGTCCTCAGTCAATGTGGTTGGTATTATTATGAACGAAAGTCTTCAGTCTATGGGGCTGGTATTATTATGAATGAAAGCCTTATGTGTATGAGGCTGGTAACTTTATGGAGTAGAGGCTGTTCATCTAGCAATGTTTACTTTGCAAGAGGGTGTGCCAATTCTGCAAAATGAATGATAGTAAATGAGGTGAAGCTGTTTTGACTTTGAATCTCCAATAATGTGAAAAGAAAATAATAATAATAATAATAATAATAATAATTAAAAACAATTTATTTTCTAGCACCAGGCAGAGTATATAAAGTGAGCACAGTTCATTACATTCATTTTGCATACTGAGCATACACTTTGGTAAGTGAAAATGCACGGCTTCTACTCCTTAGCAACCCTTATGGGGACATCTAAACTCTGCTACTTCATGAATCACACCCAGGAAATAGAAAAGGGCAGGCTTAAGCATTTCCCCTGTAAAAATGATCAGTGGTTAAGTGTGTGCACCACCATCGGATGTCATTTTATGTCTATAGTCAAACAGATTGGATGATTCATTGCACAGGAGACATGTATTCTGCTCTGACTATGACTATGTAACTATGAATGTAACCAGTAAGCAGAAGATACATCATAAATGTAACACTTTCTACAAACAGAAAGCTACAACCATCAAACTAGCCATAAGAATATGAACAAATAAAGACTGAAATGGCAATGTTGTATTCCTCACAGCTGGTGGCACAAAATCGCAGCATGTGATGTGAAGATAACATACATTTCATTACAGGAAAGACTCGCAATTCATTAGACATATCATTATAAAATAAAAGCAAGAAGATTGAATAGATCTGTAACGTTTTCATACATTACACTGAATGGTAATCTAAAATACACCCTGACTGTACACAGCCCAGTGCAGATCTTTGTTTCAATGGCTATAAACCAACATCATGTATATAGAACACAATTCGTGTCCCGTGTAATCAGAGGATCATTTGGAGCCACGTAAATAGATTGAATTACACCGGCTAAAGAAAATAAATAACTGATTTAAAATCCAAATCAAATAAAGTGCCCTTAAACAACCTCAGCCGGAACATTAATGAGATATGTGAAATGGGTATTCTTCCTTGCGGCACTGACCCAATACCACCCACTCTTGTATCCTCTACATCCCTGTGATGTCATATTTTCTAATAGATGGCAAATAATACATTTCCATTTAAAAAAAAGTGTGGTGTGGTCCTTTACCTCTGTAAAAATAATTTGACAACATAAATATAACACATGGAGGGTTTAGCACAGGGATCCTGGGGGATCTATAACCCAGCTTTGTACAAATTGTTCATTAAAAGAGATTTAGGTGCAAGCAGAGTTGTCCATGAACTCCTGTCCCCAGACTCGGGGTCTTGGTGCAGCTTCTTGACATGTATTACAAATGAGGGTGGGCGTCATATTGTTAGATGCTGTTGTCTCCCATCTTGTAACAAGTAAATAAATGTTGCTTACCTAACTGTTTCCTTTTAACACGAGAACTGAGTGGGAGAGACTTATTTCCCAATCCTAACCCTTTAACAAAGACACAAGAGGAGAGGAGACACTTCACCGCCACCAACCCAGTGGGCTAGGGAAGGGGACACCAGAGTAATTCAAGATGAAGGATTATCTACAATTTGTTGGTTTTAGTTGCTAGACTGGTGTGTTTTTGTGAGTGGAGACAAGGCATCCGAAAAGTGGATTTATGGATCATAGACACCCCTACGGCCATGCTAACCAGCAGGACAATCCCTTATTGTATGGACGTGGTGGGCTTCTTTTCTTTTTTTGCACACAATCTTATAAATTGTTTTCAGCTCTGGAATATAAGTTAATTCCATTTCTGCTCCTTTAGAACGACCATGTGCATTTTATTTATTTGTTACAGAAGAACAGTAATAGAAAATTAACACAAAAACAACAACAAAAAAACAAATTGCAAGGCTGATCCCTTTAAAACTGCCAGATGGAGAATCAGGAGGAGAAAGAAAGGCTCTTTCGATTAAAACAAAGTTCTCATCCAATTTGCCACATCTCTTTTTTTTCTCCCCCTTTTGCTTGAGGTCTTTTAACACTTAAAAAGTCCTGAATAAATCCAAGTTTTCCTTTGGAGGCTCTGAAGAAAGATTCTGACGCTAAAGTGTCGTTATCAGATTGATGGGCCGGGTTTGATTGAAGTTTCTTTGTCATGCAAATGTCATGGGCCATGATGGATGGGCTCAGATATCTGACAAGCTTCAGGAGGTCCTCAGCCATTGGTCCCCTGAGAATCACGTGTCTTCCCTGTGAGAGACAGAGGGTTTGAAGCCTGGCAATCTATGGATGGAAGTTTACAGCTTTGACATACTACCTAAAGGTTGTAGGGCAGGAGAAATCCCTCGAAACAGGTTGACCCTCCTCCATCTCTGGCAGATGGACAATACCAGAATGGGCTCCTTTTTGGACTATGCAATTTGTAACCGTGGGACTAGTGCCTACTCACCCAGAGGATACCACCATTTAGATCAAGGGACACCAACCTATCCAGCGTGCCCGGGTACCAGTGACATTTATAACGGTGATGGACGTTTTGTTGTAGGGGGATCTGGCCCAGTCTCCAACCAGTTTCACCAGCAGAACCACAGCTATCATCACCATCATCCCTCCAGCGCAAATTTAGCCTATGCCAGCTCCATACCCAGTTACACATCACAGCCTTGCAACCAAGGATATGGGCACCAAGTCTATGTCAGCCAAGAAGCAGAAGGAGCTTATTTTCAGAATCAGCCTTATCCTGCCAGCACAGCCTCAAACACTGGCTCTCTATCAGAAGGGTACTGCGGAGCAGTGCCAGGAGCAGTGCATTTCCAGCAGCACTCCTATGGCCAGGAGCACCAAGCCTTGCTACAGAGCTACCCCAACCATTCGCCCCTATTGCATGAGGACAAGAACCTCTCCTGCCAGCCTGAGCAGGCAGCATCCAACCCGACCTTCGACTGGATGAAAGTGAAGAGGAATCCGCCAAAGACCAGTGAGTATGAGCTATGACTTATTATTACCCCTGCCTCATAGGCCTCAAGTTTAACAAGTGTTAGTAAGAGTGGGTGAGGATCATTAGGAGCTCATCCATCTTGCTTGATGGCTGTAATCCTTACTCAGCTCACTGTTTACCTATCATAAACCTTTGCCATATTTCATTTCATCTATCTATCTATCTATCTATCTATCTATCTATCTATCTATCTATCTATCTATCTATCTATCTATCTATCATACCATACCTTAATATATATATGAATATATATATATATATTAGCATTGTCGGTCAAAACCAATTTGTAAATAGCACATACACATATTTCATTTGATTCATATTCACGAGTTCCTTTTTATATCATTTTGCTCACATATGGTGTTATATTGGAACCTCGCAGCTTTCACATGAATTGCTCCCATAATTTCTGCTCTCATCCACTCCAACAACCGGTCTTGTAAAAGGTTGTAGCCATATGACTATGATATATAAAAGTGAATAGCTTGGAAAGGGAGTGTATTTAAAGGACAGATACTGGGGAAACATGTAGGCTGCAATTAATGAACTCTCCTTTTGAAAATGCTAGTTGGCTGGTTGTTAGCACTGATCCAATTACCTCAATACTTTTTGGCGTCGTTGACCTAAAAAAAAAGGGCAGACTAGGGCATTGCTTGTTCCAGGGCAGTGACTCAAAGTGTTGATGGCAGTGCCAGCCAGGGAACTGGCATTTTTAGAAGGTGCTCAGCAATGGCAGCTCCCATATATCTCTTAGTACAGATTTAACTGTAGCGTAGATCCATCCTTGCCATTGAGAAGACTTTTACATAGTCAATATCGATATCTAGCCAATATCTTTATTGAAATCGTGATGGCCCTACTGGCATTCGGAACTAATGACAATTTGTTTTCTGTAACAGCCAAACCAGCGGATTATGGACTAACCTCACAACAGAACAGCATGAGGACCAACTTCACCACCAAGCAGCTAACAGAGCTGGAGAAGGAGTTCCACTTTAACAAGTACCTGACCCGGGCCAGGCGGGTGGAAATCGCTGCCACACTGGAACTAAACGAGACTCAGGTGAAAATCTGGTTTCAGAATCGGAGAATGAAGCAGAAGAAGAGAGAGAAGGAAGGCTTTACCACTGGGGTCACCAAGGGCTCATTAAAGGAGAGCAGCGAGGCATCAGACCTGTCCACCTCTCCTGATACCTCACCGAACTCTATGTAAGGGACTGCCAATGGACAGATCTTACTGGATAAAAATGATTTTTTATGCAGAGGGTGTAAATAGTCTATTTTGTGCTACAAAAAAACTCCTTATTTATATACAGGAACATTTTGCAACTCGATTGTACTAAATCCACTGAACAAAGGGAGCTGGTCAGGTTCTCTCAGGGAAACCCTATGATGTCACAGGAGCTGCACTTGAAGGCATCTCCATTTGGTTGCTGGTCTGTCCACCACAATGAGTTTGATTTATGTAGATATGTCAAGTGTTTCTTCCAGATCCCAGCCATGGGAGAGTTTTCACAAACGTTGTCACTCCATAAATGAATGAGATGTATTTCATGGTGACCATATAGTATTGATATAATTAAATGAATCCTTTGATTGGACTAAACCAATCAAATCGAATTAAAAAAATCACAAAGACCCTCCATTCCTTGAATTTAGAGACCGCTTGATCGATTTTCAAAGGAATTTCGTCGATCACTTTCTGATTGCTCAAATATGTGTGTGTGTGTGTGCCAGAGAATCAATCATAATAGAGACTGTTTTTAAGCCATCAAATTTTCAATTGATATTTTCAGTCGACCAACAAATATCGTGTGTATTGCATCGTACGGTATTTTCAATCAATGGTCGATCGCTTGTTTGCGTTCGCTCAGACCTAGATCGATCAAAAATCGCTACTTGTATGACTGCCTTTAGAATCAATTTCTTCCAAGATAATTTTGTCTAATTACAAAACCAGTGCCTGTAGACCGTAAAGAATGTGTTAAAAACCAAAATGATAATCTCGATTGCCTAGTCTGGTATGTACCATATGTACTAAAAGTGCTCCTTTCAGGATGCTGTTTGCCAGTTATAAGAAACTTGTTCAAAAAACGTTTTTGCTTTTTTTTGCAGTAAAAAATACATTCTCCTTTTACTTATGTGAAACTAAATTTCTAATGTTATTTTTGATGTTTTCACCTTTTAGAAATAAATCTACCTCACTTTAGAAGTCCTAGTTTGCCTTGTTTTCTCCAAGAAATACGCTTGGTAAATGATGATCTATGCTAAGTGTTTAAATCAATGAAACATTGTAAAAGGTAAAGAGGTGGAATCGTCTCATTGTGGCCGGTCTGCTAATGGAGACGATTTTATGGCTTGGAATTGTTACTCCATTTCAGATTAGTAATGTTTATTTGAAGGGTTCGGAACGGAATGGCTTGTCACCAATCATTATTAGTCACTTACTCGTTCATCACCTCCTTCCATGATAAATAACCCCGGTTAAGACACAAGGATACCGAGTCTACAAAGGGAAGTCTTCGTGTTTCTGTCTGATCCTCCACACAACAAAAGCATGCATGGCTACAATTTAAAAGTGAAAAGAGAGTTCCTCTGAACATTTATTTATATTCCAGTACTCACACCCCGGAGACAGGATGGGAGTTTGGTGCTTGCAAACTGCAAATACTCTTTCATCCTGCCTGGAATCTTTGATATTCAAGTGGCACGCTTTAAAAGTTGGTCATGGCTGTTTACAGGATCTACCATCTGAATCTCTGTTTGTAGCAATGATCGCAAAATTCTATCTATCTATCTATCTATCTATCTATCTATCTATCTATCTATCTATCTATCTATCTATCTATCTATCCCTCTCTTGCTCTCTCTCTCTTATCATATTCTATCTATCTATCTATCTATCTATCTATCTATCTATCTATCTATCTATCTATCTATCTATCTATCTATCATCCTTTCTTAAAATATGCTTGGTCACTAGGTCAGTTTAGTTTAACTGATTGTAGTTATGAGTCTGATAAGCTCCTCCATTTAACCCCTTCACCTCCTCCCTCCTGTACATTTAATGGGGGCAGATTTATCAAAACTGGTGCAGACAAAATCTCGAGCAGTTGCCCATAGTAACCAATCAGCTACCCTTTTCAGTTTGTTCAGTTAAGCTTTGAGAATGAAAGAGAGAAGCTGACTGGTTGCCATGGGCAACTGCGCCAGATTCCGTCTGCTCCACTTGATGACTCCCCCTCAATCTAGTGCACCATTACCAAGCTCTGTGTTTTAACCCCCTGGTTACCAGCATGTTTCTTCATTTTCTAAAAATTAGATTACTTACCTTCTGTTAAAGAGTCATTTCAGGGGTTTTGGTTATGCCCTGACATTTTTATTTGCTATGTTTTATGACAGAAAGTAAGGGAAACCTTTTTCCCTCACCTTTTTTGCTTTTTTCTCTGAGTGGGGGAAAGAAAAAAAAAGAGAGAGAGAGAGAGAGAGAGAGAGAATCCCAGTGGGTAATACATTCCACCTAAAAAAAGATACAGAATTCATGGGACTATAGAGTTTCATGAGTAATTGTCAGTCAAAGTATCACAGTAGTAAACACAGAAAAATGGCCTGAATAGGAGGTGGGCTTTATTAACATGCCGGTCCTCGAGTGGTTAAAGAAAACATAGTAAAATGATTTAATAGCACTAAAAATACTCAACCAAAAAAAGTATGTTGCCCACAGCAATAATTCAGACTACACATGAATTCTGATGCTGGAGGCAGGCTGGAGTTTGGCAACAGTCCTCTGGCTGTTATATGGAACTAGAAGAGATATGGACGAAACCATTGTTGTCAATTAGAAACAGAGGATACTGCCTCTGGTGACTAGTCACCCCCGTCACTTTGACTACATCCACATATTTCACAGTGATCTTATATAAATTATATTTTATGGTAACACTTGATAAAGCACTTGGTGCAGTACTATATGTTTTTTACTTAGAAACTGGGGTAGCGGTACTAAAGAAATAGAAGCCGTTCACTTACAGAAGTGAATGTTCACTTTGACATTTGTATGTTCACTCTGGAAAGTAAATGAGAATAAAAAAGGTGAATTTGTGTTCCGTTTGAAGACCCAATCATGTGGGAGAGAAATTAAAATAAAAACTTTTTGTTTTTGCTAGTACATGATTAGCCAATTAAAGTGAGCCCATTTTTTTTTTTTGCTAAGCCTAATAAACATTAATTTTGCAAAGTGAACATCCGTTTGTCAAAGTGAAAATCTTAACCCCTTTAGGAAATCAGCTCTACTGCTCTTTGCTGTTTAAATTAAAAATTGATTTCTTTTATGATTTGGTAATTACACATAAGTATTTTTTTATGTGGATACATTTCTGTGAGAAGATGTCCTACAAGTGACCTTTTTCTGTACTCCTCACCTTGTTTTTGTTCAGGTGCTCTTAGGAATTGGAGCCAGTGTAAATGCCCTTTCTCTCCCTTCTGCCCATTTTGTTCTCAGTTTACCGTTCCCTGACAGCTTTATTTTAGTCCAGTTTTTCGATGGCCTACTTCAATATTTACCCAAGTTGATGACCTGTCCCAGGATCTCCTCTTGGCTGTCCTGTCCTACAGGATTCTTCCCCCAGGCTTAGGTTCATCTAAAGTTCAGCTGGAAATCAAAGCATCACTGGCTAGGTTGGATGTCCCAGGACAGGCCCAGGATGGACAGCAGCTTAAGGTCATGTTAAGGTCTTCTTTCCCCTCCTGGGTCCCCAGTGACCCTGTTCTCAGCAGTGTACATAACTGTGATAGGCAATACTGTATTTTTCCATAGTACACTGAAAAGAACTATCCTGGCCTACAAAAAGGCATTGCTGCTTCTAAATTGAACTCTAGAAATTCCAGCTATTCATCTGAGAGCTTACAGACTTCAAACCATCAGCACGTGCGGGGAAATAGAAGAAGCATATTTCCCATGAAGTAAAATGTGTTTAAGGTTACTACAGACCAATCATACAAATTACATGTCCAATAATTGTAACAGTATGTCTGCCTCAAGCATTCACAATGTTTAGGTAATATTTTAATACCAAGACACGCACTACAGGTGTTCAGAAATAAATCATTTTTCATGTAACAAAATAATATGTCACTTCATAACCAGCTATAGGGAACATCCTGTAGTAAGTAAGAATGTGGCGAGTTCACTTGATGACATAATATCAACTGTGCTTATTTTTACAGCAGAATATTGTGCAATTGCATTATATATGTCTTTTTTACTTGTAACAGTAGATGATAATAATGAAAGTAATAATTTGCAACACCATTAACTTTTCCTCAGAATTTATGCTTCCTCCGGCTTGTAACATTTCTTACAATGGACACATAAAGTTATGCTAATAGTCTCACTGGAACACTCACATATTGCTCAATAGAATTGCAAAAAAATACCTTTCCCAGAGAAAACAATGTTCCAGGGTCCCTGCAAATCTGGTCACATATCTAAAATTCCGGGGTGTTGGTCACATGATCACTGCTAAAGGCGAGGCTCAGCAAATCTGAACCTGAAAAGCTAGTTACCTTGTAGAACTTGGTTTAATAAATCTTTTTTTCCAGAACTCTCATTGGATTTCCTAATAACTAATGGGGTTAAATTGATTCTCGATTTTGACCCTATTGACTGAATAAAACGAAGGAGCAGGTTGTAAAATTTTTCTTGAATGAACGCAATTCTAACAGTGAATATGGCTTTCGTTTGAGAAACTCTATTCATTCCAAAATCGAATGTTAAAATAAAAAAAAATTTAAACAGCATTCTACAAGTCTCTGATGGAATTATCAAATGTTCAGACCAGATTTTTCATACGAACGTTCATACGAAAATCTACCAGTGTATGGCCAGCTTATTCCTACACTTTAATAGAGATCACATGAGCAAATGTTTAGGGAGCTAGATATGTAACAAAAAGCTTTGACAGCGTAGAGTGGCATTCTCCAGGATATATAAGTAATTTACAACTTCTGTTCATCCTTCCGTCCAAGCAAGACTGTTAAATTAGCTTTATGTTAACATTTTAGCATAGGTCCACATTAAAGTGACACTAAACCTAGGAGTTAAATCTTAGAAAAACACATTCAAGTACCCTGTTACCAAAAATGTATATTATTTGTATATCACTCAGCTGTAGATCCTCAAATCATCTCTGAATTGGTGCAGACACTGTCCTT